GTGTGTGGCTATATACCACAGAGTGTGGTTACTGCCACTTACTTGCAGTCTTGTGCTGATCAGCGGTTGAATGGCACGTAGACTTGAAATGTACAGTTACAGTTCGGTACGAATGGGATCGTCAACGAACGGGTAAAGCGGACCAAATTCCGAGAAGGAGTAAATCAAAAGTTGTGAAAACATCATCCATCTGAGATTCTATTCATAATTCAGTGTTTACAAGAAATTTGTATAAGCTCCGAAAACTTTAGTGGAAAGCTAAATACCGTTCATGCTGAGAAACATCCGTCAGCATAAAATATAAATCATCTCCGGAGCTGCATTTGCTAAGAATTACGTGAAAAAGTGCATAAACCGAAGAAATTGTTTCATCGATCAATATCAATAGTGTCCTAAAATGCGCATGGTGATGGCGAGAAAGACAATCATGAAAATTCTGAATATCATCAAAATTTAAAAAATGATAAAAGAAAACAAAATAAAAAAAAAAATCATAAACAGTAGTAGTAGCAGTGGCGGAAACGGTAAACCTACCTAAAATTATCTCGAAAATTTGATGGTGCTTTCGAAATTTTATCCGCGCAAAAGTTTTCCAATAAGTGCTCTACGAAAAGAGCTAAGCTGAAACAAAATAATATTTTTAAAAAAGACAATAAATGAGAGATTTCAGTTAGGAAATAAGATAAGTAACTTAAGAAAAAAGGAGCCGAAATACAGTAGAGTCAAGATATGGAAGAGGGGACGAGGAACAAAAGTTGAAGAAGTTAAAACAGATAGGAAAATTTTATTTCTGACTGCCAGGGAATGCTGAGATCTCAACTAGTGAATGTCTCAACTAGGTGTTACAGCTGATAACCAGAATCAATTTACAAAGCTGTGCAGAAATACTAAAGTAAATGCTCATGAAAATTCAAGAATAACTAGGGACTTTTACTGCTACAGATTATGTCACAGTGTCACTGGAAATTTGCTGAGCAAGCTACATCCAGTAAAGAAACGAAGGGCCCGTGGAAGTAGAGGGAACAGTCGAGCGGAAGATTACGAGAGAGGAGGGCTGATTTACAGGGTAAGTAGAAGGAAGCAATCAGGTTGACCCTGGAAGTTTAATTAATGGCAACACGGGAGATAACAATGAACAAATAAGATAAAGAGATAAGAATGAGATAAGACGTTTCGGTCCATTAAGTCATATACGCCTTAACTCAACACCATCGTGACAGGACTTCGTCAGTATGACGGTTGCAGTGCTTAAAGGAGAAGCAAAAGGCAGGAAGAAGACAAGAGGAAGCAGAAGGACAAGAAAAGCTGATGGAATAGAAGAATAGAAGGATTTCACTTGAATGTCATGTGCATGAAGAAATTTTATGGCGCAATGTGTTTCATTCCTTAGCTATATAAACAGACCGAATAGTGCATGCGGGTAGGAGTGGGGATCATCAGTATAGCCTCCTACGCGCCATGTTTTGAGTAGTCATGTGTCTAAGTGGTTAAAGAAGAGCGAAAAGAAGAGGAAAAGAAAGAGGAAATTTCGAAAAAAAAATTATTCACAAAAAATTTCTCGGTTGCACCGCAGTTTCTTCTGACATACTAAAATTGGCCGTCGGCTATGACGTAGTGATAAATAGTATTATTGTCGTGCAACAGTTTTAAGAACTGGATTCAGTCGATGGAACAAACAATTCCTTTACGATTTAACTGTCACTAGTATAAGATGGAAAGTGAAAATTGGTCATCAGCTTGTCTGCACGTATCCCTCAAAAGAGAGGCAACAGACAGTCTTTCAGCGCTGGCTTCTACTAATGTTTGCTACAGCTACATTTTCAGTACCAAATTTTCTCCAAATTTTTTTTGATAGAGCAAATAAGGATTTTTTTTCGGGGAAATATGAGGGTGA